CGCTCTTGGAATTTTTCAAGTAGTTATAAACTTAATTTAGTTACAAACTAAATCCTAGGATTTAAACCAAGGTATTGGTACTTGAAAGTATACAAGAATATGTGTCTTAAAAGCCTCTTCTCACTGAGTGAGCTATCTGATCAAATTACTAAATAGAGTCACAGTTTTCTCTGGAAGTTTAAAGAATGGGGCCATTTTAAACAACAGAGTTGCTTTCTAACTAAACTTAACAAAACTCATGTTGAACTGGTTAGTGTTTTATTATTAAATCAGTTCTTCTACTTCCTTCTCCCCTTTTTTAGGCAACAGTAACTAGTGTCTTGGAATACCTGAGTAATTGGTTTGGAGAACGAGACTTTACCCCAGAATTGGTAGTATTACATCTTTTTATTTTCATAATGAAGACAAATTATGTTTACTTATATATGAGATATGACTCTCCAGTATTTATAGATAGTGTATGTATTATATGTAAAACTATGTATACTTGTTTCCAGTGAAATAAGGAATTTACACTAGAATGTAAATCAACGTACTACTTTCTTCATTGAGAAAGTCTCGCTTTGGGGGAGAAAAATGTCAACTAAACATTTTGATTTCTATCCTAGGACAAGCTGTTTATCTCATTGCAGGCCAGTAACAGGTCACAGACCCATTTTGAGTGGCACTGGCTTAAGAAGTTTGAAATGCATTTTCTAAAATGGCCTTGAAATCCAATTCACAAAAGCATATCATAAATAACAACAATAATAGCAAGCACTTCGTGCCAGGCATTATTCTAATGACTTCATATGTAATAATTCCTTGAGTCTTCTGATAACCTATGAACTATTGTTATTTCCATTTTACAGATAAGGAAACTGAAATCCATAGAGATTTGGTAACTTGCTTGAGGTCACACAGATTGTGCATAACTAACTAGAACTGAGACTCATGCCTGGGCAATCTGACTACTCTTAACAACCATGCTACATTACCCCTCTATTTTATTGCTTTATATTCACAGCTCATTTTTCACCCTCAAAATTGGGTAAATTTGGTGGGCATTATATAATTTATCTACTTAATCCTCTAAGAAGTTTTATCATCTGAAGTTAGATGTAATTTTTAGAAATAAATATTATTCGCAGTTGAGGATATTTGCAAAAGTGAGAAAGTCTCGCTTTGGAGAAAAAAAATGTCAGAGATATAATCTTTGCCTTCCAGAAGCTTAGAGTCTACTGGGAGAAACAGATAAATTAACATTGCAGTACAGTGTATAAGTTTGCCAACCTGCCATTCAACCAAGTGGCTTAGATAAGTCTCTTTCATAAGTATAATGACCATATTATTTATCACTAGACTTTCAGTTTACTTTTTTATATATTTTTTCTTTTAAATCTCTATATATACATTTTAAGGGAAAAAAACATTTAAAATCACTATTTCTGATTCAGTGGTCCTACATGTCTTACATAATTATAAATAATGTATATATTCTGTTTTTTTCTGGCTCACATTTCATTTATATATTTCTGTATAATAATATAATCACATAATTGCCATTGTCTTAATATCTCATAGTTTACTTTAATTCTCTCATTATTAACCGTTTGGGTTCTTTCTTATATTTTACAATCATGACTAAATTGTAAACATTCCTACTAATTTATTAGGGTATATTTAGAGTAGAATTATTGGATCAAGGTTTTATAAGCCTTTGTTACATTCTGCCAGATTGCTTTCCAGAAGAAATGAATGAGTTGATAATGCATCAGCAGTGGCTGCTTAAAGTTAGTTCTCTTCCCTAGAATCCTACTTTAAGTTGAATCATATGAAATTGCCATTTTTGTAGCTAAAAAACGTTTGGTTATCAGTAATTCCATATGGTTCAATCTAACATTTTATAATGAATTTCTCAAATTTAGCAAATTTATAGTAGTACTTCAAAGTAAATGTAATTTATATTTCTTTCAATGTCAGCAAAACAATATTTTTCACATGCTTTGGTATGTTAGCTAATACCTTCAATAGATAACTTTGTTCATATTCTTAGGCTACTTATTCATTGGAATCTAGATGTTGAACTTTAAATTTTTTTTCTGTCTGATAGTGACCTTTTATCACTATTTAATCTGTTTTTCTTCCTTTAATATTTTTAACTCTGTTGTAAGATTTTTTTCAAAACATAAAGATTATCCACTCAAGAGGTAATAATTCTGGCTTTTCCTATTAATTAGCGAAAGCATATTACCAAAAAATGTAGCTATACTTGCCAGGGGAACCATTAACTGTTTCTGAACCACTGACCAACTGATTTACTGAAGTTTAACCTGTTAATTCTTTGAGTCTTATTTTGAATAATCTGTCTCTTAAATCAATAGTGTTCAATTCCCCTAAGTAACCATAGCTTCAGAACTCTAATATTAAGAATATTAGTGTTTAAAAACCTGTCACAGGAAGTTTGAATATCATAAACTAGCAAAAGGAAAAAGACTTTTTTAGAATTTCTTTACTTGGTATTGTCTGATAGTTTTTTGAGAAATACAGCCTTATTTTATCCAAGTGTGAAGCTATTAAGGAAGGTTTTTGGCTACTTGGTTTTGGATTTCACCTTTATTTTTTACTATTGTCACAGTGTGCTCACTAACCTTGAGGAAAAGAACCTTTCAGCATAGATACATCTTAGTCGCTAGAGGTTCAAGCAACTTCTAATTGTAGAGACCATTTGAATGCCTGAATACTAGCTTTACATAGTAAATGTATGCTTGAAAACTTGAGTCAAGTTGAAACATATAGTAGTTTTCTTAATGTAGAAGAAAATTTTGCTCACTATTTATAAAAGAAACCTGGATGTAGATTGTTTTAAGAAAAAATCTTACCGATTTGTGGTTCCTTGATAAACTTTTTGTGTTGCGTAAATTGTTATCTAAAGTTCTAATAATCTTCAGGTTTCTCCAAAGTAATGTGTTTTTCAAAATAAACTCAGTCATATACACTGCTTATGAAAATATATTTGATAATACTTTTTTGGGGTGCAATTTAGTGATTATATCTCAGAAACTTTTATGAACCCTTTGACACCACCATTTCATTTCTAGGAATTTAACCCAAGAAATCAATCAGAGATGCTCTAAAACTTATGTTCAAGCATATTTATCACTATTTTTTATATAACAGCAACAAATTAAACATCCTAAATCCTCAACAATAGGAAATTGGTTAAGTTAATTATGGTGAATTCACAATAGACCATTCATTCCACAAATACAAATATTTTAATTAAGCTTCTATTGTGTTCTAACTCTAGACAGGGTTCTAGGAGTATAATATCAATCATTATACTCTCACAAAATTTGGGTAAAGAAAGAATAAACCAGCAGTGACAGGAAAGTATAATAAGTGCTTGGTTAAAGAGTATTTATATAAGCGCCATGTTGAAACTTATATCCCTTGTTAATCCAATTTAACATCATGGGAAATATTACGTATTGCAAGTAAAAAAGATGATACCAAATATTACCATATTATCATTATGGTGATGAAACTTTATTTTTAAAAGCTGTGTGTCTGCATAGGAAAAATATGAACATTTTAAAAATTAGCAGAAAGTTTATCTGGATGATTGTATTGCAAATTTATTTTTCCTTTGTGCTTTGTGTATTCTTTAGTTTTTCTGCATTAAGTATATCCTACTTTTATAATTGAAAAGAAAAACCCACTTTAAAAAAAGGGATGGGGATAAATTTAGCTTGCCATGGTATTTATACAAGTATCAAAACTTTTTATCTAGACTATAGTTCCTTTATATAGATATGAGGGACAAAGTTATAAAATTATAAAATGATTTGCATATCTGTCTATAGAAGGCAGAGAAAAAATGTATTTTAATTTTTGCAATGATTTATACAGATCGTAAAGTAGTTTTCTACCTATGAATTAGGACTTTAATTGTAATAAGAATCTCTGAAACTAACTCTTTGGGGATAGGAATATTTTTAAGTATCTAATGTTCTATGTGTCTATAGGTAGAAGATATAAAAAATATCACCTGGATGTCTAGATGACCCTTTGTTGTTTATATCTAAACATAATACAATTAAATGTTCTGTGAATTGATTCATAACAAATAACCAGGCACAACATTGGACATTTAAAAAACAAGTTAAAACATATGGTACAATATCTGCCTACTTATTACTTTTTTAAATTCCATTTAGGGAAGATGGCTTTATGCTCTATTGGCTTGTCTTGAAAAACCTTTATTACCTGAGGCCCATTCACTGATTCGGCAGCTTGCAAGAAGATGCTCTGAAGTGAGGCTCTTAGTGGTAAGTTGTGATATGTTGATAAAGAAGGATTCCAATTAAGAAAACACAGAATATTTTATGAGGATTAGACTGGGCTACATAATAGAAAAGCCCAAAATAACAGTAGCTTAAATAAAATGGAAATTTTTCTCAGATAATGTCTGAAGGTAGGCTGATCAGATTTAAGACAACTGTTACCCAGGCCTTTGAGTTCTGCCACATGTGGCTTCCATCACGCTTACCTCATGATCCAAAGTGGCTCCTGGAGCTTCTGCCGTTGTATTTCATTATAGGCAGTTGGAAAGAAGAGGAAAAGAAGGCCGTCCCTTTTTCAAAGAGCCTTCCCAGGGGTTCCACAGTACATCTGACTATATAGCTCACTGGCCAGAATTTAGTCACATGGCCATAAAAAACTGGGCAATGTTCACTTTTAGCTGAGTGGCAGTATGCCTAGCGAAAAAGGAGCTTCAGTTACTAAATAAGAGAAGGCAAGAAACTGGAGTGGTCAACTAGCAGTCTCTGGCCCAATGATTGTTTTGAATTTCTCCAATCAGACCCTTCCTCCAACTCATGCCTGCAACATTACAATAGAAATTAATTTCAAACCAGATTAAGCCCACTTCTAATTTTTTTCATCCCTCCTTTCCCCTCCACAAAATGTATACTTGTTCTCTATTACTCCAAAATACATTCATTGAACAACCATGTTATAGCCCAAACTAATTGACATGGCCTATACTCTAAGCAAAATGTACTTGCTACTCACTAAATGTTCCCTGTGCTTTGTTCCTAGACTTTATTTCCTCTACAGAAGAGCCACTTCCAATCTGCATCCAAATACCATTTGCTTTTCACAATCCAGATCATATTCTACCATTTCTATGATACTAACAGCTTAAAAGAAGCTCTTCATTCTGTTTTCCCAGTATACTTTACAATTTTTTAAGACACTTCACATACTTTTCCATTCATTAAAGCTAATATGTGGATATTTCATCTTCTGTGCTATTAGCAGGTAACATGGTATATTCAGCTTTGTCCATATAGTGCTTAGCACATAGAAGAATTGAGTATAGTAACATCATGGACGAGTGTCCCGCATTTGAATCAATACATGGCATGTCTGTTATAACATTACTTGATAGGTTATTGTGACTTCTTTGAAATGTACAAAAATAAATTTCATACTCTCTTAGACTACTTTCTATGTGTCTTAGTTCTGTCATTTTAACAAATATTTAAAGTGAACTTTCTAAAATGTATAGTTCAGAAACTACTTACATCATAATCGAGAGCCCCGATCTGGAATATTTTCTGGTATGTCTTATGCTGGAAGTCAGGATTTCACCCTTTCTCAATTGCAAGTTTTTTAAAATACTTTTATACACTTTTTTCATTACAGTCCAGTTAGGACATAGGCTTATTTTTTGCTGCTGTAGTTGGAACTAGGGAAAAAAAATTCTCCCGTTACCCTCTTTAGAACTCTCAATTCTTTTCCTTATTCGGGATATTTCTTTAAAAAATGATCTTAGATGTTTTTTGAGGGATCATTAACTCTAGTTTTCTCATTTTTCTTTAGGTTTCCTATTTTCCTGTGATTCTTAACTATCATCTAATAAAATTTTCATGTTTTCCTCTTAAAAGGAAATTTATTTCAAAGATACTAGGGTGGAACAGACTACATTTTGAGTTCTGCCATATGTGGCTTCCTTCCTTTTTTTTTTAGGACAGCAAAGATGATGAGAGGGTTCCTGCGTTGAATTTATTAATATGCTTGGTTAGTCGGTAAGTAATCCTTGGCTTTTGCTTTGTAACAGTATTAATGTTGGTAGAGAGTATTGTTTCCATTTTACAGTAGAGGAAATTGAGGTGCGAGGAAACAGAATATTATATTTATTATATGTATCACAGTTCCCTTAGTTTTTCTCTATAATAATGCTATAGTGAAGATCTTTATATATATATAGCTCCAGTATTTCCTAGGTGTAAATTCCTAGAAATAAGTCAAACGGCATTAGAGTTATGCACAGCTTAACGACGGTGATGTTCTGAGAAATGCATCCTTAGGCACTTTCATCAATCAGAATGTAGTTACACAAACCTAGATGATAAAGCCTACTACATACGTAGGCTATATGGTATACCACCATTGTATATGCGGTGTGTTGTTGACCAAAACATTGTTATTTTGGCACATGACTGTTTTTAAAACTGATTTGCTGCCAGTTTGCCTTACAGAAAGCTCATATCATTCTGTGTTCCCACTAAAGTGTAATGAGAGTGGCTATCTCCTAGTCAACATTGGGCATTTTCTGTTGATAAAATATTTCCAAACTTTTTCAAACTTGCTATAATCTATATATTTTCCTACGTGAAGTTTATAATCTCAGATACTTTTCTAGTCTACAATTTTTTTTCCATTTTTACCTAACTTAGGATAAAAAATAATCATAACCAATACAACTAGATCTTCTGTCATACCTGCATAATATTATATCAGTGGATTAGGAGGCAGACGATATTAGGAAATATGTTTCATATTCCCTAATTGTCCCAAAAATCTCTTTTGTTTAAACCAGGATCCAAGTAAGATGTACTCATTGCATTTGTTTGATATGTTTCTTACATCTCTCCATCAACCCCCTGGATTTTTTTCTTTGCCATGTATTTGTTGAAGAAATTGGATTTTTTGACTTGTAAAATTTCCCATTTTGGTTTTGGCAACTATATCTTCATGGTCGTGTTTAATGTGCTCCTCTATCCTCTGTATTTTCTATAAACTGGTAGAAAGGTCTAAAGGCTTGATTATAGTGTTTGTTTGACAGGACTCCATGAGTGCTGTTATATCACTTCAAGAGGCACATATCTAGTTGTCCCACTTATACTGGTGATAAATTTGATCACTGCACTCAGTAAAATCCATACTTTTTACCTGTTGGGTTTGTCACCCATTCATGACTTGCCTAGATTCATTATTTCATTAGGATTCAAAAATACTGGTTTTTCTATCATTCCCTATTTATCTATACCTAAAATTTTTTCTGTGAAACATATCTTCCTTTCAACAATTTGGTTGCCCTGAAATACAGTTTATCCCCCCTCCCCCCAAAAAGGCAGGATACATGCTAAATTCTTCCCCTTTATTTACTAATTTTTAGAATAATGATTTGTGGCCCAGCAGTTCCCAGCGATGACCAATAAAGTTGTTTCTGGGTTGAGATTATCATTTCGAATTTAGGATTTTTAACATTTGATACATTTCACTCCATTGCAATCTTATTGATGCTCAAATTGTTCTATCTTTGGCCAGTGGGAGCCCCTCAGGTTCATTCCTATGCTTTTTGTTCTATAATCTTAGTGGTCTTTTATAGTTTTCTTACTTTCTGGTATGTCAAGATGATTCGTACATATCTTGGACATTTCTAGATCTGGATCTGAATCTGGAATCAGTCTTTTCTCCTGGGGATGCTGGTTCTTCTTTTAAAGTAGAGAATGGTACTTAGTATCCACAATTTGGACGTTAGAGAAGCTAGTTGTTGTTAGGTTGGTTGTTGCATTTAGGCCTTTTTTGTGAACAGAGCGAGGAACTGTATTTTTAGAAAGAGAAAGATAAAATCTTGAGCTCAAATTGATATTTCAGATCTAATTTAAGATTACATGATTTTTCTTTAATGTTACATTTCTTTTCTCCTATGCTAAAAGCCTGGTTTCCAATAACATTAACATAATTGGCTTTATCCTATAGTATGCATATAATAGTTTCAGAATAACAATATTAAGTGTCACTGATAGAAAAAATGTTGAAATCATTTAAAAACTTTCTTGCAGTTCTTTTTGTCCCTGGTATATCTCACTAGGCACATATATCAGAACACTGAGTCTAAGACCATTTGAAATTATTCTCCTGTGTGTCTATGCCACCAATTTGATATATGGGAAGATTCATTTGGTAGAGTTTGATTAATGATTCTGTATTTTTTTTCCTGTTTTATAATTACATAAAACATTTACATTGTTCCAAAGTTAAAATTATAATTCAGGTTGCACTTTGAGTATTTTAGAATCCACCTTTATCATCCCTAGCCTCTTTTCTCCCTTCTGTAGTTATCCATTTCATTATTAATTTTTGGATTATCCTGTTGTTTCTTTTTAAAAGTCTAAGCAAATACAAATATCTGCATTCCTACATAGGCTTACAAAAGGTAGCATACTAAACATAACATTGTTCCTTTTTTTTCACTTAATCCTGGAAATTACACTGTAGCAGTGTAGGTATTTTTCTCTTTTTTGTAAAAGGTTTAGTCTTCTACTGTGTAGATGTACCATAGTTTATTCAACCAGTCTTCTCAGATGATTGGGTTGTTTGCAGTCTTTTATTACTGTAAGTAGTGTTGCATTTAATATCTTTAAGCATACACTCAATTATTTCTTTACTAGGTATTTTGACCAACGTGATTTAGCTGATGAGCCATCTTGATGTAGCTGATCTCTCAGGAATAGAAGATACTTGTGATGAAAGCAGCCCAAGTCTGAGGAAGTACAATGCCAATTAAAGTGCAAATTGCATCACATCTTCTACATTATGTGAAAGGTCTTCATCTTAGCCTATGCAACTCAAGTTGATATGCAGAAGATTGTGTATGGATTTGAATATCTGAAGTATCTGTTGAAAATCTCACCTTGTTTTTGATAAACTTTTTAAAGTTTTCTATTACCACATGCAAAACTGTATGATGAAATTTTACAAATGTCCTTGGTGCTGTTTCATTGTTTATATGTATAAACATAAAATTTTATTGAAATGTGTTTTGGTTACTAACATTTTGTTGACTGACTCTTGAATAAAATACAGTGGAGAAAGGTTCTGAGTATTAGAATTAAAATAATTTAGATTAAATGGCAAATGTGTTCATAGCAACAAAATTAAATCTTTCCCCCTTTAAGCTGAATACTTTTATTTAAATGATTTATTGCACAAAACCTTTCTTAACAAATCATTTTTATTAATACTCTAATAGATCCACTGCTTTAATTTTTCTGTCAAATCTTCTGTTCACATCACTCATATTTTCAGGTAGAAGTGCTTTCTACTTTAAAAAGATCCAAGTAGCAATGGTTTTTCAAATTGAGGTTTATATTTCTCACATAATGAGAAGTGTAGAGGAGCTGGTTATTGGCGTTGGTTCAGTGACTCCAAGATACCAAGGTCTCAGATTCTTTTGGCCTTTCCTTCATGGTAACGAGATGGACACTGCAGTTCAAAGCAATGTGTCTGTATTCAAAATGAAAAGGGGAGACGGAGGCATCTGGTCCCTTTCTCATAAAAGCAAAACCTCTAGAAATCCATAGCAGATCTGTGTTCATCTGTTGGCCACAAGTGTACAAGATGATCACCTCTAGCTCCACGAAAGGATGGGAAATGAAACTGTAAGCCTTTCCAGACTTTCTAATAGAAGTAGAAAAGGGAAGGGGAATTGAGAATAACTATGGCAACTAATAGTTTTCCCACAAGTTATAAATAGAGCAAATAAAATTTCACATTTGAATCTTTTATGTCTTCATAAAGCTGATTTCTAAAGATCGGCTTAATAGTCCAAGTTTTTTACCATAATTTAAACATTCTCTCATTGTTGGCTATCTAACATTTTTGGTGTTAATCCAATATAGAAAAGGCTACCATAAATACCTTAATGTATATAACTTTCCTTTCATTGGTGAGACGTTCCAAAGGGTAGGGTTGCAATTCATAAGAGCCTTATTATGAGTTAATACTGCATTTGAAAACCTGACTTGAGTGAGGTTTTAAAAATTGAGAACTTTTGTTTCTCATCTGATAATTCTGGTTTAAGAAGTTCAGGGCTGGTGCAGCAACTCTATGATAAATGTCCCAGGCTGCACCCAGGTTTCTCTTTTATTAATTTAAGCATATAGCTTTCATCTTTTTAGTCATGATATGATTGCTTTGTCTCTTGCCTCTCATCAACATTTCAGGAAGGATGAAAAGGCACCACCCCTTGTTGTCTATATCAGGAGAACAGCATTTCAAGAAACCCTCGACTTATCATTTGCTGAAGTTATGACATTTTTTTGTAAAGAAAGCTGGAAATAGTAATTTTTTAGCTAAGCACATTGCCACTGCTACAAACAATGGGGTTGTTAGAAAAGAGGGGAGAGTGGCTACTGGGTGGACAGCCAGCAGTGTCTACCATATAGAGTTTAGATTTCTAGCCTATAACTAGCTGCTAAAACCTCACATGTTTTGTTGATTTGATGCTGGGGGCAGGGCAGGTTTAATAGAGGTAAAGTGTCAATTATTGTTTTAATTTACATTTCTTCCATAACTAGTGGATGAACATGTAGTTACGCACACTTACACAAAAATAAAATTCATGAGGACTGGAAAGCATAAAAAAAATTTTCCATGTGAAGATGAGAAATTATTTTAATGCTGTTACACCTCTATTTTCTAGTAAGCTGGAAGAACTCTAATAATTATCAGAGAATTCATTTTTATAATGACTCAAGTTGGCATAAGGATATTTTTCAGGAATGTAGAGACAAGTAAAAGACATTTTAAGCCACTAATAAAGTGTTCAGACTACCAGTATAGCCATAGCGTTTAACAAGGCATTCACAATTAAAAATATCTTCTGATTTTAATGAGAAATTTAAGAGAAAAAGTTCCCCAACTCAACACAGGTAGAAAAAGTCTATTGAGAAATTATACATTTTAAATCTAGAATTTAGAAGTAGTTTTGAAAATAATAGCTGCCAAATGGTAGTTTAATTGGATCTGTGGGGCAGTGAAAAAATAGACTGCACCCATATATATTTTTTTTCACATAAAAGAACTACTACTTCTGGTCAGGAGAATATACATTTACTAAGTTGTGATAGTACTTTTATTAAAATTGTACTCATTTCTATTAATTTTTTAGAATTATTTCAACTGTGTCAGAATAAACTGATTAGAAGCTGAATTACATTAAAATTGATTCAGGTCACTGGTTCTACCATCTGGGAACAGAGAAAAATGTTTTAGAAATTATAGAAAGGTCAAGTTGACCTGTGTCCATATCACAATTATATTTTGCTTCACATGTTACCAACTCCCACCAAATTAAAAAAAACATGTTTCCCACATTGCCCCAGAATGATTTATTTGAGCTGTTTCTTGAAAACACACTACTGTGAATAAATACTAGGTTACCTATTTTTCAGAACCTATTAACATGCTATTAATACGCATTAAAAATCTACAAAAGAGGATGAATTTTCAAAATGTATTTGATCATAGTACTCATTTTTCAAAGAACACTTTGAAAAACTTATAGATTCTATCTAGTGTCTTTTTAACTCTTAAGACCCCAAATTTGTGCCAATCCGTTTATACAATCTGATGCCTGAATTCATTCAGTCTTCGAGAGCTCCATTAATATAATAAAAGTGAAATACGGATTAGTTTAAATGTGAATTCAGTGACTCCAGGGCATAAGAAAATAAGGTACTATTTTCTAAAGGAAAGCCATTCTACAGCTGTGTTCTAGAGAGACTTGGAAACAATTCACCAGGTAACCTTGGCTCTAGGATCCTGCTTTCCCTTAGTCACTGCATGTTGGGTTCTGCTATAGACTGAATATTTGTGTCCCCTCCAAAATGCATATGTTCAAATCCTAACCCTGAAGGTGACAGTATAAAGAGGGAAAGCCTTCTAGAATGGGATTAGTGCCCTTATAAGAGACCCCAGAGATTTAGCTAGTCCCCTCAATAGCAAGTGAGGGCACAGTTAAAAAACATCCCTCTGAACTACAAAGCAGACCCTCACCAGACACCAAATCTACCCTTCTACCGTGAGGAAGAGTCAATAAGGGAATAAAGAAAGAAGTTAGAAACTTCACTAGTACTTCCAGGCAAAGAGAGAAAAGCTGAAACTGTAACAGGAGTAAATATAAAAATTCCTTCCTAAAATACCTTATTTTCTTTGGCCCTGGAGTCACTGAATTCACATATAAACTAATCTATATTTCACTTTTATTAACAGAGCTCTCAAAGTCTGAATTCTATTAAAATGAAATTAAGTTTTTAAGCAATTTAGGCAGTCAGATATGACATGTCACACATACAATGTAAAAATGAAATCCTATATGGGCATAAAAATTCTTAAACTTGTAAGTAATAAAATCTAATGTGTGCTGTTTGCTTTCTTAAATAACAATTTCATAAAATCAAATTTGTTCATTCTTACATAAATGATTCTGATTGTTGCATATTTTTTCATATGCTAATTTATCAAACCCTTAGTTTTGCTTCTCCATCTGTGGTTAAATATCCATCACTCTAAGCAAATAAAAATGTTTAAAATAAGGGTCCTACATCTTGGTGTTTATTTGAAATCAGGTTTTCTTCATTTTGAATAGTTTAATTACAGTGTATGTTATGGCAGAATGTCTCCATATGCTTTAACTTGGTCTATGTTAAATTGATAAAATACAATCTTATTCCTGCTTAAGAGTGCATCTTTCATTATATAAGTTAGCAAATAGCTTATATCAACACAAATGTCCAACAATGTAATTAAATCATTGCTACTTGAAATACTTTATACATGAATAATTTAACTCTTTACACAGTTGAAGCCTTGCATTTCAGTATGTTCTACAGCTTCTGTATCATCACCTGAAATTTACCTAAAAAAAGAAAACATGAAAAATCATTTTGATTTTAGGGATAAAGAAAACAAGCCAAATTAAACATCAATTTTCTGCTCTATTTAGGAATTAGTTTCAGTCAAGAAACTTGCTATGTCAAACAACTTTTCATAATATTCGATAAAACAATTCCATTTTTATGAGATGATTACCTGTTTGGTGAATTGTTTTTCTTTGTTATTTCTATCTTTTGGGTATTTCACTGCTAATTATCATTGTGAATAGAAAGGAAATACAATGAGGCTCAAGTCAATTTTATTCTTGGTTGGTAGCTCTGGTGAAAAGATCTTTCATAAAGAGTTTAGTGATAAAAGACCAGTTAGCATTATCTAGCTTTATTTAATAGATATAGTCTAGAAAATTTGAAAAAAATTTTTTTCAATGCTATAGGATAATTTGCTATCTTAAAAGAATACTGCAGAAAATTTTCCTTTAAAAGTTAAGAATTAGTCCTTGATTTGTCTTTTAAATTTGGATTTCTTTACCACTTCTTCTTAAATCATTGTCCATTATGAATTCAAAAATCATTGAATATTAATATAAACATGCTACATGTTACCATATTAAATGTTAAAATTGGTCGAAATAAAATGAAATAGTTTTAGCATTTTAAATTTCCTCTAAGTTAACAGAACTAAAACACAAACAAAAAACACCAGACCTGAAAAATAATCACTAAAAACATTTGTAAGAAATGTGAATTCAACTTACAGGCAGGCATTGACGACACTTCAGCTGTTACAATACTTTTTATCCCTAGGTTTGATAAGCCACCTCTGATTAAGCCACATGTAAATGCTAAATACTAAAAAGAACAACAACAAAAAAAAATGTAAAAAATATTAAGGATTTACTGAGTAAATGGATAAATATGGCATTTAGTTAAAGCTTTGCTATTATTAAGTTATTACTGTTTGAAGAACGGGTGAAAGAATTTTTCAATCTACTGAAAATTCTGATTGAAGATTTCCCAGCTCCTTGGCAACTAAAACACTGACATATGACTTAAGCTCTACCAACCGTGTGCTCCAGTCCAGGACTCTCAATCTAGAGTGACAAAATCAAGCTGGCAACAGGTTAGAATTAGTTTTAGAAGCAGCAAAGGTGGCTTGTGTCTAATGTCTGCTGTCCGAAGTATTCTCACTAGACCCTCCCTGTGGAGTGATTGTGCTGTTTTTCAGTTGCTTTAACTTGTCATTCTTGTCTGTTTCCTGAGCTTTCCTCATCGATTCTGTAAGCTAATATTATTCCACTCAGAGTTTCATTTCTGCTTCCTATAACCACGAATCTTGATTTAAGACATAGCCTGCCACAACAAAAAATTATTCAGTTGAAAATATCAAGAGTGCCAACATTGAGAAACCCTGTGTCATGTAGAAACCAGGAAAAGGAGAGGGACTGAGCTACAGCAGAGAAAGCAAGGACAAGAAAAGGAACAAGAAAACCAATAATCCAAAGAATTTTTGATTATCTACATTTTCGTATTGTATTATATGCAATAACGTATCTATAAATACAGAATATTATTGTCTTATAATTAATATGTATAAATAGGTACTAATAAGCAATTAGATCTAGAATCATGAGATTTTGAGATGGAAAAGACCTCAGATATTTTTTATAATATAGGGATTATTATGACCAGTTTTACTAATGAGGAAACTAAGGTCCAGAGGGCTTATGTAACTTACCCAATGTCACAAGCCTGTAAATTGTGGAGCTTAGCTTAAATCTAGATTTAGTTGGTCCCAAGTCCATGTTCTTTACACTATACCTACACTGCCTTTGTGTTAGTAATTTAGGTATGGACACATTTATACGGAAAAATAGCAACTTACACTGCCTCAGATATTTTAATCACTTAAAAGGAACCCATACATTAAAACTTGTCATCTTTCTTTAATACAACTGTCTACTTCTTGATTTCTACATGAGTTTGAAAAAACAAAAACTACACAAAACCCAGAAACACAGATATACTTAACACAAAATATGTATTCTTAGAAACAGTGTTAACTATGTTTAAAACTATTTTTTTAATTTATTAAAGGAGATTGTAAATATTAACTCTGAGGTCGATAATTTTGCACAGCTAATATGAGTTTTAAAAGCTTGAGTATCTTTTCTGATATTTTTATGCTATATTCAAAAATCTATTCTTAATCTACTTTTCATTGTCATTTAGTTAGTGTTTCTTTAATTGGTCACTATAAGCCTACTTAGCCACAGTTTAATATGTTATTTTAATATGATGAACATCTGTCTCCTATTTCATAAAAAAGTGTTTAAACAAAAATGAACAACTGTAAAACCTATTTTAAATTCAAAAGTCTGTTGTGATTGGCATTGTACTTTTCCCCATGGTTCTACTCTTTTCATGATAAAAAACCTTATCTTCTATTCCATTAAATACCTTAGATGCATGTTCTAAATACTGTTTTCCTGCAGACATTTGAGTAAGCAGACGAAATTTGTTGTCCTGAAGTACATAGATGCCCTGTTCCAAAAACATTAAAAAAATCCAAAGTTAATGTATTCTGCAGTCCTTAAAAATCACTTCTCTTCAAAACAATTTTGAGGTTTTTTTAATTATTAAAACTCTCTTTTCCATTGGTCAAATTTCTTTACATGAAGGAGTTTTGCAATGTTCAAGCTGAAGAGCTGTTCAGCATTTTATGACACTGATATTTACTGAATGCTTTTAGAAACTAAATATACAAAGATGCATAAGACATAGTCTCTATGCTTAACTCATCTTAACTCACTGTCTAGTATGCAAAAGAATTATAAATACTTGTCCAGTTATATATTATTAACTCATATCTAGAATGTCAATAATCAGTTACTTCTTCCCATTAGCATTTCAAGTACTTTCAAACTATGGTTGGTATTGTTATATGAAAAACTAAATTCTATTGGTAGCTACTAGATACATTCTTTTAATTTTTTTTACTCTTAATCAAAAGGCCAAATCCACTCTATTTCCTTGAGCATTATAAAATAAATCTATGTAAATGCATACTTTTCCATGCAATCTATTAATTTTTATATTAACAAAATATTTTGAGAACAAAAAATATGACAGCAACTGAACAATGCACAAGTTATTTAAAAGTTAAATATGGTCTATAAATTAGACTTCAGAAATTACTCTAAAGATATAAATGTAATATATTTGTGGTTCTGCATATTAATACTGCTAAGTAACAACTAAGGAAACAAATCCTAAAACCTTTGTCATTCTGACATTCTCTACTTTTTAAAACTTAAAATAACTTATTTAATTGGGGGAAAGAAATAGCCATCATTACTAACAATTGTCTGTCTTTATTCACTATATCCTACTAGATAAAAAAAGTAATGACTTATTAATAACATGTAAGAGAAACATTTCAAAGTTGACTAGAATTTTGTTTTAAATAGGTAAACCACTAAAATAGGACATTTATATTAAGTTACAGGACTTAGAAAATAGGCCTTAATTTATCTAAATACCTGATGATTTGTCCTTAGATTGTCGATTTGTTTCTTGAATACCGTAGTCCAGAAATCTTTACAAATGAACTTCATGATGTCTAACTCATCTTTGAACCTTGCAGTATCTTTTGTAAACCTGAAAAGATCAACTAGGAGTAATATAGTATTTTTCTTCCAAAGAAAGTGGTAGAGGCAAATTATTAACTAATTTCCAAACACCAGAACAGCACTGAATATTTGACAGTCAAAGTGATAAGTATCAAGCAAACTAGATCCCATCTCAATAGATTCATATTCTGTTATACAATTATGGGGCTAAAATTGATCTAACAGTAGAATCTAACTATTATACCTAAAAATTTTAGGTACAATTCATCCTAGCATATAAAAAAAAAAAGCAAAAAGCTGAGGATGATCATGTATTGTTATATAAAACAAAGTTCAACTATTCAGATAGTGAGAAAAGAATTCTTAATAGAATTGTTCTATAAATTGGAAGATTATTATATGCATAAACATGGACTCTAAGGCATTTCCATTCCTGTGCATGTAAACAAAATCACATTTAGATTACAGAACCTATGGACCTTAAGTAGGAAATGCAACAAGATTTTAGGTAGTTGTTTCAGTACACCAAAGTTTTTGGAGAAAAAAAGTATAAAACATAAAATATATTTTTTCTTCAAATATTAAAATATAAAATTTGAATAACTTAAAATAGGACCTAAAAAGAAATTTCAATCTGTGAATTAGAAAGGAGAAGAAATAAAATTTGAGAATTAAAATTAAAGTATCTTAAGTTTTATACAATCTTTTGAAATAGATCATCTTTGTTCATAACCTACCTGGAAGAAAATTTTCAAATCCATACTGCTCACCTTTCTATCAGTCCTTGTCCTACTCGAAACCCCATGTTTTCCAGCTTAGTAATACAGCGTCCATTTTCCTATTTTAAAAAATAATAGCTTTGAATAATTTTAGAATGACAGAATATTGGTATTAAAAATTGTTTTAAAATGTTGGCTAAAAATATTAATGTAAATATATATTTACATTTTTTCACTGAAACACTGTAAGAAAAAGTGAATTATAGGTCATACTTGAATTTTCTTAGTAATAATCATTTTCATAAGGCAATAAAATAAACAGGGAACTGTTGCTTTATTACTTTT